ATTGCTGAATATATTTTGAATATATGTTGAATATATATTTAAATATTATATATATATATATATATATATATATATATATATATATATAATAAGATAGTCAAATCAAATCTAATGACTACATTTTAAATAAAATTTAATAAAATACCAACTTATTATAATTACCATAATTTATGTTTTTTTTCAATTTGTTTCTCTAAAATATGATAACAGCCCCCAAATAGAAATTACTTATGACAACTTCATATATATCTATCTCTCTGTCTCTCTCCATATATATATATATATATATATATATATATATATATATATATATATATATATATATATAATCTCACTTTAAATTTTATTATAGTGAATATCCACGTTTAAGTAGGTACTCTGTTTATTTTTTAAGCATTTTTTTTATATTTTTGAGGACGCATTTTTTCTTTAATAAGATTCAGCTAATATACAGGCCGGTAGATGAAAATAGATTTACCGCTTAAAAAAGTATACGGGGCGTCTACTGGAATATGGGTATCCAGTAAAAAATAGTATAAAAAAGGATGAAAATTTGTTGGATCAATAAAAAAGATCCCATTCTTCTTTATCTATCTATCTATCTATCTATCTATCTATTCATCTATCTATCTATCTATCTATCTATCTATCTATCTATCTATCTATCTCTCTCTCTCTCTCTCTCTCTCTCTCTCTCTCTATATATATATATATATATATATATATATATATATATATATATATGTGTGTGTGTAACGTTGAGTCATAATAAGTTATTTTTATTTTGGGGAAATCAGTTATATTTTAAAGAAAAATTGATAATTATAAATGGCTAATTATTTATGCCTCAACATAATATTTTTATATTTCGTGTAAGATTTAAAATGAAATATAAACAACGTATAGACTAGGGTAACTCATAAAATAAGATATTTAACGAAATCTACTGAAAAAATAATTTGTTTTAAAGAGAATTTTAATAAGATAATATATATTTTAAAAATAATATCTTAGATGAAGAATACAGGCAAAATTTATGAGGAATATTTTTATTAAATAACTGTAACAGTTTCCACTAATAAATTTTTAATGCATGGAAAATTAATGATCCTTAAAACATAAGTCATTTTAAAATATGAGAACGGCAGATAACTTACATAATTTAACAAAAATAAAACATTACGTAAATAAACGTCAGAAGACTTGCGTGTTTGCTCGCATTTCCGGAGATCAGTGTTCAAGAAAGACTTTCAGATACAGATTTTTATGGCAAGTATTGTGTTCTCTTTTGTATAAAAAAAAAACTTGCTTAAAAACTGTTTTTCCATTTCGACTCTTTTTTTAAGTTTTTTACAAAGCTTTTGTTTAATACCAAAAAAGGGTTAGCTAATAACTATGATACACAGTTACATTCCATCTTTCCAGAGATGTTGGTGTTTAAACCTAGTTACAAAAATGAAAACAGAAAAGAATTAGAATACTGACACAGCAAAATATTTTGGCTTGATTGCTGGTGTACCGGAAGTTATTTTGGAGTGGGCTATAAATTGCCAAGAGGAGTCGCAATGTGTAGTTATAAAGATGGAAAAATTGTAGCTAACGGAAGCTCCACAAGTCGATACCCGATCAGTTTCGGCTGGGTGACCGTGGAGGGGGGTGTATGATGTTGAAAGACCCGAAATGAACCTGGGCTAGAAACTTCACTGATGGTGTGCCTAAAGCATCCAGTAGATGTATTTTACGAAATTTGACTTTTAGTGAAAGTAAACTCATCAATAACTATTCATTCGAAGATTAATATCAAAAGTAAAACAAATGTTTCTATAAGATTTTAATTCTGTGTACATTTTAGAATTAGTTGTCTTTAGCGTGTTCTTTTCGTTTTAGTCAAATAAAATGGCCGAATATAAAATGGAAAAAGAAAAGAATATAACTTAAATAGAAACACCGACGTAATTTAGTAGCGTCTATGATTACAATGCTGTCAGCCACAGTTGAGATGACAGACGTGAATATTAAAATATTACAACTGGCATAATTGTTTTTTGTATGTTTATTTTGTTTTTATCTGATATGAAATCATAAAAAGAACATCAAGTGACTTCTTATTTCCCTTCCGAGAAATTTCTGTTGGCTGTTTATTTACCGGTTGCTGTAATTAATTTACTCCTGATACCTTTTTAGCCAAGTGTACAAAAATAAATAAATAAAATGACAATTTCTGCATTGTGCCGGGATATAATATGCAAATTTGTTTTCCACTATTCTTGTAAGCTGATTACAAAACAAATTTATTTCTCCTTTACAGAGTTATTTGTTTCCCCTCTGGAGAATGCATGAAAACAAAATGGCTAACAATTCAAAACATTGCACGAGTAACGTCTATTTTTGCCTTTCCTTCAGTTATTGCTAATTAGTTTTTTTTTATTCTTCTATTAGCAAAGTGACAAAATTCTCTATCCATCGTAGTCTGATCAAGAATGCACACAAACACCCCTCACACGAACATGTACACACACTACACACACAGATATATATATATAAATATATACATATAGACGCATACACACACACACACACACACACACACACACATATATATATATATATATATATATATATATATATATATATATATATATATATATATATATGTAAGCAAATATATGGATATAGATCCGACAGTATGAAGAAAAATATATGGAAAAACAAAAATCCGAATATGCAAATATGCTATTTTAATGTTGTTTCAGTGTCGACGTCAGACGTTTCGGTCTAGTTGACCTTCTTCAGGACATAGTTATTAAAACATGATTAACATTAGACGATATTCAAGTCAACATGAAAAGACGATGGACATAAGATTAAGACTAATCAAAACAGAAAAAGGGAATTTTTTTAGATCAGCGTTCCGTTTCACAATATGATCACGTCGGCGTCACGTGGGCGATGTTGTGAAAACGTATTCCTAAAATACAGTATATTTTAAATGAAAAAGAAGAATTTTATTTTAATTTAAAATTTATAAGTACGTTTGTCGAGCATTAATCTTGCTAGAAAAGGGTAAATATTAAAGAAGCCGGGTCTAGTATTCACCGTGCGCGAGATAGATATTATGCCTGCCTAATAAATCCGTCTAAGATTTTTATTATGAATATATTTTAAAATCTTCATAGAATCAAAATCGAAATTATGATCAGATTTAGTTATGTGTACAACTAAAGCATTGTTTAAATTACCCAGGCGAATATCTCGTTTATGTTCGAAAACACGAGATTTTACGGACCTACATGTTTCACCCACATATTTTAAGTCACAGTTGTTGCATGAGATTTGGTAGATGCAATATCGTCTAATGTTAATTATGTTTTAATAACTATGTCCTGAAGAAGGTCTACTAAACCGAAACGTCTGACGTAGACATTGAAATAACATTAAAACAGCATATTTGCATATTCGGATTTTTGTTTTTCCATATATTTTTCTTCACACACACACACACACACACACACACACACACACACACACACACACACATATATATTTTGTAATATTTTTATTTAAAAAGAATATTTTATATCGCGAGACGAATTTTGTGTGTGTGTGTGTGTTTATATTTAAAAAAATATTTGTTTAAACGTTATTTTTTAAATGGATACTCATATTTCGGTAGATGCTCTGCTTTCATTTATTTATTTAAACAGTATATTTATTTGTTTAAACAGTATATTTGTAGAAGGTCCGTGTGTGCTTCCGTGTTGTTGTATTAGAAACGCGTGCAGAATATTAAAAAGGTCCAACTACAAGAAAATGGCCGGACTTGAATTAAGTCCAACTGAAGATAAAGAAAAAAACAAAAACCGATATATATATATATATATATATATATATATATATATATATATATATATATATATATATGTATGTATTAAGCAAAACAATTTTACAATAGACAATAACATTTGTGTGTGTGTAAAGATTGGTGTCTGTTCTTTGGTGAATGTTCGTACGTACGTGTATGTGTGTATAATGTTCATGCCGTCTCCCAAAAATGGGAACACGCGGATCTTCTAAGGGAGCTTACATTATAGTCGCTGAAATGAAGAAATGAAAAAGAGAACGAGGCGAGAAGTCGCCCAGTATTTATAGAATAGGGAGAATGACCCCTATTGATAATTTGGGAATTAAGGAGGGACTAACTCCGACATATTTATTTATTGAAACAGTATATTTACATCTACCGGCATGAAAATTCGAGAATATATGTGCGTCCTCCGGCAAGATTCGAACCTGAGTACCCAAGAGAAAAGCCTCATTAGATCTGACGTGCCTTGGTCCAACTCGGTCACGTAGGTTTTCGTGATCGAACAAATCCCGAATAGTGCTTTTGAATACACATCTTTTCGCTTCTCGAAATTTACATATCTGCTCTATTACGTAAACAAAGATAATTTTTAGGAAATCCGACAGATTTTTAATTTATTCGTTTAAACACTATTATATATATATATATATATATATATATATATATATATATATATATTAAAGACATTTTTATGTTTAACGATGTTTTTATAGATACAAGTATTTAAGCAAATGCTCTGTTTATGATAAACAGTATTAAATAACATTTACCGGCCTGAATGTCCGAGAAATTTTCATAGAAAATATTAGTTCTTTGACAGGATTCGAACCTGCATCCTATACGGAACCGTCATATACGTATAGGATGCAGGAAAATTATTGTTTGATTCGTTATCTCCGGCATATTAATCCTTTTGCAGGTTATTTAAAGCCAGAAAATACTTTTAGATTGTAAGAATTCTTTTCTTTTAGATAATAATGATTTACTAACTAATTAACCCATAGCTGTGGGGAGAAGGTGGATTCATAGTTTTCTCAAGGGTATTTGCGCGTAAAAGAATATAACGAACTCGAACAGAATTGGAACTCGACTCACAATTACAAGCCGTTATCTATTGCACCACTGCATACCAAAGCTTACAGCACCTGGTATTCCTAAACGGTCACCCATCTAGGTACTGGCTAGGCTCGACGTTGCTTGACTTTGTTGACCGTACGAGAAACGGTGTTTCAACCTGATATAGCAATAAGTCTTACTGGGAGTGAAACAGAATGAGAAGGTTTTAGCGAGGAGAAAAGACAATAAAAGAACAGGTTTGCAAGAAGGCAGAAGATGTCGATTGGCGTTGCATTTAATTTTTTTTTAATTTTAGGGAAGGCAGGGAAGCCTGAAACCAGAAGAGAGTTCCACAGGTTGCGTGTGACTTGTCCAACAGTAAGACGGTGAGACCTAGTTGCCAATTGAGTAGTACGCCTGAATGCACCGGAGAGAGCTCATCAGAGCAAGGAGAAAGGAAAGCAGGGAGCCACGTCACGGCGGTGGGTAAAGTGACTAAAGTCGAGATGCTAGGTTAGGATCGAGGAAATTAGAGATCTTGCATTGGATGTTTTTCTTGGATTACGAGATATATAGCAGGAGCAGCAAACGAGATATGGCAGTAATATCCAATGCACTGAAAAGGGGTGGATTAATAAATGTGCAAGTTGGATTCTAATGAGAAAAATTGTCTGACATGACACAGTGAACCAACTTTCATATCAACAGACCTAGTAATTTTGTGTGCGTACAAAATATTTTTTCCAATGTTAGAAATTGTCACAATGAATGTTTCTTCAGAGCACTTTTGGCAAATCAATTATCCTTTTTGAAAGAGTTTGCTTATATTATCTCAATAAGTGTGAAAGTTGCTGTAATATACACACACACACACACACACACACACATATATATATATATATATATATATATATATATATATATAGAGAGAGAGAGAGAGAGAGAGAGATGAGTGAACATGGAAGTCAAAACTCAGAGCCGACAGGCTGCTTCATGCTAGACGCAATCGTCAGACCGCATCTAGCATAAAACAGCCTGTCGCCTCTGATTGATGACTTCAATGTTCACTTTTTATATATATATATATATATATATATATATATATATATATATATATATATATATATATATATATAATTAACCGTCTAAATAGGTCAAGGTCGGGTCACTCATCCTCCCCCCAATACAAAGTATGCTTGAGAGAGATATGAAATTAATCCTTCCCTATACTCTACCATGTCTCTTTCACTACTCCTTTTACAGTCTCTGTTAAATTACAAAAACTTACACTACCCATCAATTTTAATTTAATTTTTCGTTTCATTTCATTTTTGGAAGTGCTATCTGATGATCCGGCGTCCTTTAAAAGGACTCTGGTGAAATAAATTATTATAATGGTACCTTAAAGTGGTCTGGATTTACATTGAGCTCTCAGGATTTCATCCTCCTTGGGATTACCCATACGGATTACCAAGTTCTTCATAACTTAACTATAGTTATATATATATATATATATATATATATATATATATATATATATATATATATATATAATTACCGGGTGCGGCATATGCATGTGCAGTACGTGTAGCAAAAAGTTTTGCACAATTTTGATGAGCTTAAAAGTCAATATTTGGTATGAAAACCTATATTTTTCAAAACAGTTTGAACTCCCTTAGGCAAGCTTTCTTATGATTGCGTTAAATAGTATTAAGAAATAGTTCTTCAGGCTTCTTAAAAGCCATGTCAAAGCTCTTCTTTATATGTTAGTTACCTTTTTTTTCTGTTCTCTGTCAAAATGATCCCACTCTGCGTGTATAATGTTGAGATTTGGGCTCTGAGGAAGTTAATCCTTAGCTGATCGTGGTCCATGATGTATTATAAATATCCAGGTAATCTTTTGCTTCATTGTCAGTGTGTTTGGGATCATTATGCTGCTGAAAAAGGAAGCCATTGCCAATTAAACCCTTTCCAGGTTGTACTGTATGATCGATCAAGGCGCTGACGGTACTTTCTGCGTTCATAATTCCATCAATTTTGATAAGACGTCACTGACTGAAATACACTCCCAAACCATGGCAGGGCCTCTCCTTTATTTCACAGATTAAACTGTGGTAGCTCTTTCCGCACTTCTTCTGTACATATTGAATTCAATTTAAACCTAAAACGCTAAGTTTTGGATACATCACTCTATAAAAACTGTTGTCGCTGATTTTGATCTCAATTCATATGTCACGTGTCATATTTCAGATTTTTTTGTTTCCTTTCCATAACCATTGTTGTTTGAGTGCCACTCTTCCAATGAGACAATATCTGATGAGACGTCGGCAAACAAAAATGGATCAGCTGAAGGATCAGATGCATCTCTCAGATCCCGAGACAGCTCTTCGCAATATTCCCACCTCCCCGTATTTCTTAAGATAAATGACTTTCAAATACTCTTTATTTGCTGAGGATAATTCCACATTTTTTGCCCTTCACTTGCCCAGTTTCTTTTTTAAGCACAACATGCAGGCATATGTCATTCTTTTTATTAATAGAACTTTGATGTTTGGAAATCACATTGTTGCTGTTAAATTACTATTTATATCTTCTCAAACGGAGCTATGTTTGGCACGATTTGAAGAGACAACACCTGTAAAGAAATGGAAACAACTTAGTATGTCCCTAGTACAATTTAAAATAAAGTTCCTTACCGATACAATTTAAAATTAGTTCTTTGCTCAGTTGTCCATTATGTGTAGACACAATAGCGTTTCACCCCTTATGTTAGGTGCCTTTTATGTTTTGAAAGGTTAGTGATATGTGGCTTAACAAACAAAAATATTCTTGTGAAAATGATCTTGTACGATAAAAAAAGTAATATCCAAAGCCTGAAGAATTATTGCTCAAGACCGCTTTAAATATTAACAAGTAAATTTGGTTCGTTAGTAAAAAAAAAAAATAAGACAGTGGCTCAAGTCGTTTGCACATTGCGGTATGTTAGGGAAGGGATTAAGGAAAAAATTCTGATTTTTGCTTAATTAGCTAATTTAGGGGGATGGATCGGGCGAAGAAGAGATCAGCACCGCGTTGATTAACAATGCTGAAAAATTAAAAAATAATGTATGGAAAATAATGTCATTTCATATTTTACTATATTGTTTCTTGTATTACATAATTATTGCATATAATATAATAATATATTATACAACTGCATATATATATATATATATATATATATATATATACGTTTGTATTCTATTTATGTCTAAAACAGTATCTATGTATGTTTTCTATCTCTCTCTCTCTCTCTCTCTCTCTCTCTCTCAATCTCTGTCTGTCTGTCTCTCTCTCTCTCTCTCTCTCTCTATATATATATATATATATATATATATATATATATATATATATATATATATATATCCGAGTGGTTCGAACGTTCACTTTCTGACCATGAGACCCGGGTTCGAATCTCACCAGGGTCGATTTGTCAGAAGGTGAGTTTTTGATGTTAAATGCCCGTATCGTGACCTATGGCTTGAGCATGCTAGTCTTGTTCAGGTTGTTTACCATGCTAGATAACACGCTCTTCTCCCGCGAACAGTAACTAAGGTCTGCTCAGTATTGTTGCAGTATAAACCACCTATGGGTGTTGAACAAATACAAAACGTGCCTGAGCAAGTGACTGCAATAGGGATTAGCTAGCTACCTAGGAAACGAGTATCCTCGAATACGAATAGCCAGCCATCATATGTAATGATGAGTAGCGGCTTGGATTGAGGAATCGGAGAACCGAGTTCGAATTCCAGTCGAAGCCACTACATTCACTTACATGCTAATACCCTTGGGAAAATGTATGAACCATCTTCTTCTCCCTCCATCTAAGGACAGACCGTGTTCTCTAGGCTTGGGTGGCAACGGGTCTAGAAGAAGGGATTATTTATGGTTCCGTATATCGATGTTTTATGATAGAGGGGGAAAATGTTGTCGGATCGCCAAACATACATATACAGACATACATACACTCACATTCACGCATTGCGGCTCACGCAAACATAAACATATATGAACAGTGTGTGTATATGCGCATCCATGTGTCGTTGCGTGCATGCGTACGCAATTGGTTGCTGTATTCAATGTTGGATTGTGTAGAGAACTACTTTCCAAGTGGCAGTGTCAACGCACAGGTCGTTGGTCTAGTTTGTTCACGGAATAATGTCTTGCTTGCATGCACATATATACGAATGCACACGCGTCCACACACCTTCTATCCGTCTGTTTTTTTTTTTTTTTTATAAATTGGTGTTTCTATCATTTACATAAGTGCAATCGCCAAAAACAAGCAAATAACCGGCTTTAAAATAATAACAAAACAGAATTAAAAATAAAAAAATAATAATAATTTTATGTACCATATTCTTACACAGACCCCATCTTAAAAAAAAAAAAAAAAAAAAAAAAAAAAAGTACAGGCGGATAGAAGATGGAAGCCAGAATATGAATTTCGGTATCTTTACTGAAGGCTTGGATGATTAACATTGATCATTTTAGAAGACTCAAAAAGATTATAACCTGCTTCCTTTTTCGCTGAATAACTCAAAGGGTTTTTCAGTGATTCTTACTGCCAATTGTATCAAGATGGCTAAATGTCTTATCCGGAAACGTGTAAAAAAAGACAATTAGTTTAGTGGGTTTTTAGATATTAAACATTTTGTGGGAGATGGACAATGATGCTGTAACAAAATTTCTACAATTTTGGTGTAACAACCGGTTGGTGTAACATCCGTATATATATATATATATATATATATATACACACACACACACACACACACACACACACACACACATATATATATATATATATATATATATATATAGGTACGATAAGAACGAATAGAGTACAATTCCAACGTTCGTAACATTTATTTGAAAAGTGATTGCAATTGTGTAGCGATTTTTGGATGTTTTTGGTGTAATATTCTAAAATAAATAATATATATATATATATATATATATATGTGTGTGTGTGTGTGTATATATATATATATAAAGGATTTTTATTTTTCAGATTTAAAATAGAAGGAAACTCTATTTCTAGAACGTTCTCAAAAAATTTTATGCATGAAGATGCGTTTATGCGCGGCCGCGTTTTCATTTCGTATTCATTTAGGCAAATTTCATCGACGGCTATAGAGAAGAAAT